AACTGCTGACCTTGTGGTTCGCAGTCCGATTCGTAACCACTACGCTAGCAGAGCTCCTCGTTAATTCTTCACAGTACCCTGCCAGCCTTTTCATGTACTTTCTTCCTTTACCTCTCTTTCTTGTCATTCTTCATTTTCCCTTGCTTATGTGTTGTTTTTGATATAGAGCTTGTCTTATTTCATGCAGGATTTTTTTCTTTCTGCTCTCCCATCCATCTCAAATGCCATTTTGTTACTGGAAGCTGAACCCAAACTGTCACTTGTTTGGTAAATTGGGTAGTAGAGTGCATCGAAGGACACTCGTTCCTACTACCATCTTATCATCCAGTGAGTGTTTTAATGTGTGCATTTTTGCATATATATTTATATACATGTATGTGTGTGTGTGTGTGTGTCTGTAGGTACACCATCCATTTGTGTGTTGTTAGTTAAACCAAAAGCTGTGTGATGAAATTCTATACTTCTGTAGTTTCATATCTTTGGCATGTAATCCCTACGTATTGTACTTCTTTGTTTTAATTTTCTGTGCTTTTCTTCTTTGAAGATTTTAGAACTCCTAAATGGCCAAATCTTCCAGTCCAGGATTCGACACAAGAAAACTGTACGGCACATTCAGTTCACAGCTGATGGGAAGACTCTTATTTCAAGTTCTGATGATTCTGCAATTCAGGTAAGAGGAAGCATGGGCACCTGACATACATAATGCCAGCTCTGGCAAAGGCACGCTCAGGGTCCGACTGCAATCTGGTGCGCATTTTAAACATCAGTTTCTTTAATGTCATTCTACTTTGGGCATATGTGGGCTATATATGCACATGGTTTTGGCTGAAACCCATTTGTGGTTCTTTATTTTCTAGGGTTGAAGCAGACCATTTGACTTAGAACCCTCTACTGGGAGGGTGTTTATTTTAAAAACAAAGAGTTCCGTTAAACTTTCTTGGCTGCCATCAGATTTGGATTGGTATCAATCTTCTTTTTTTTTTGCAACAGTCATGCAATTTCTCTTTATTTTTCTTTACAGCAGTAAAATCTGGTTGAAACAATTCTGTTCTTTAGAGAAAAAGTGTTTATTACAGTGATGAAATCCTGTGAAAAACGAATAATTTAGCATAATAGAAGATTGTGTCAATGGAAGGATTAAGCTTACTAAAAAATTGCTTTTTTAATGTTCGCATGCAAGTAATTTTAAAATTCAGATATTTCAAGGTTTATTATGGAAAATAGACTCCCCATTTCTCATTCTCCAGAAATAGCTACTTTTTTTTCATGTTTATATTCATTCCCCTTCATATAGCATGCTTATATGCTAATTTTTGCTTTTTTTCATTTGAGGCATTATTTACGAACCTCCCTATAGAAAGCTGAGACTGTAGCTTTCTCTCACCTTCCATGTGTCCTACCTCCTACCATATGTGCACCACATTGGCACACATATCCATCTACCAACTCTCCTCATCCCAATATAGTTAGGGTTTGGATTAGATCATCACTTTAATATCATTATGACTAAATAGACGTTATTCATAGGAGCCCTGGTGGTACAGTAATTAAGTGTTCAACTTAACTGAAAACTCAGCAGTTTGAATCCCCTAGGCCTATCACAGAAGAAAGCTGTGGCAGTCTGCTTCCATAAAGATTACAGCCTTGAAAGCCTGTGGGACAGTTCTCTGTCCTATAGGATCTCCAGGAATCACAATTGCCTCAGTGGTGAGGTGTCAGAAAGGTAACTGATGCCACTCACATCTAGTTTATATGAATGCTTTTCCTGCCTTGATGCAATTCAGGAAAATTCTACGTCAAACTAAATTTGGCTGTTGTTGTTGTTAAGTGCCATCGAGTCGGGTCTGACCTATAGCGACCCTGTACAGGGTTTCCGAGGGTGTAGATCTTTACGGGAGTAGAAAGCCTCATCTTTCTCCCGCGGAGCGACTGGTAGTTTCGAACCGCTGACCTTAAGGTTCGCAGCCCGAATTTGGCTAGAGTTGGAAATTATCTTATCCTAAAATATTGAAGGTATTGCTTCATTTTCTTCCATGTTCCAAAATTTATGTTGTGCAATCTGAGGCCATTCCAATTCTTCAACTTTATCTTTGGAAAATTTTAGAATCTTTTCTTTGTTCCCAGAATTTTGAAATTTTATTTGGATGTTTTTTATTTCATCTATTATTTTGGGTGTTCTTTTCAAGATTGTTTTCTCTTTCTTTAACATCCGTTATTCAGATGTTTACTCTCTTGGACTAATCCATCACGTTTTCTCTTCAGTATTTCATCTTTCTCTACTGCACACTCTTTTCTGGGACTTTTCCTTAGCTTTGGTTCCCAACCCTTTCACTGAAATTTTCATTTTTGCCATTATATTTATAATAATAAAGAACCCATTCTTGTTTTTTTGTTCACTCCTTTTGAAGAGCATTATGTTTCACATTTGCTAAATTCAAGGATTCCTTCCTGAATTTAGAGATCATCTGAAGAACAGATTTGATGAATTAGACACTAAAGACCGAAGACCAGAAGAGTTGTGGGATGACATCAAGAACATCA